ACAGGTTTGTATCCTAACTGCCTTCCTGGCCACAAAACAGGAGAAAACAGGGTTCAAGAAAAATGGCACCCACCTCCCTACAACTCCCAAATAAACTAAACAATAATAAACAAGTTTGTAAACAACAGCAACAGGCTGGACAAGACAAAGACAGCGCTCTGGAGAAAGCTCTCGGGGGAACGTTTTCTCCAACTTTGGTAGTTGCTGCTCTGCTTTTATGCTGGCGCACTCTTAACTGGTAAGCGCCGCTGGGGGCAATCAGCTACCTGCCAAACAGATTGAGTAGGAGGAGCCAAAGGGTTAACAAAGAAACACAGAAAAAAAAAAACACATTAAAGAAAACACAGCTTTTCTGATAAATCATAACAATAAAGACTGCGTCTCTAGACGCAACAAGGGGCAGTTCAATGTGATCTGTCAAAAGAGTGCCAACTTTTTAGTTCCTCATTTCTGTACACAAAAAAGAAAAAGAAAAAACACTCTGGCCTTCCATCTTGTGATATGCTGAAATCTCCAAGCTGCTCATAAATGTGTTTTATGAGGAATTGAGCTTGTGACATGATATCTTCACAGTTATGGCCATAAGACTAGAATGTTGTTACCAAGCAAGACCCACTGCTATTGTGCCAATAATGCATGGAATCAGTTTACACAAATTATCATCCCCTGCAGCCATTGTCTGATAGATGTGAGGCAGGTAAAACATCTGATTCACCTGTCTACACTCGTTATTAGCCTAACTATATTAGACTAAACCTATGGAAAAATAGGGGAGAGCAGGGCACAAAGTAACACTTTTTGACTTTCTCAAATTGTTTAAATCCACATGGGGTTCAGGGTATAATTTTATAATCCACAATAATTTCACACTTGTCTAGTACAAATATGTCGATTTGTTTCATAATTACAGTGTATATACGTTTTTCTTTATTTACCCTCAAAAATTGGAGGTGAAATGTGACAACATGCCCCGTAGGTGGGGTACATTGTAACATCTGAGGGGCACGTTGTAACAACCATATAACAGCTTAAAATGTTATCTGATCGAATGAAAAAAAGTATACAAGACAAACTAAAATATTTTGTCAATCAAATAAATTAATTTTCAAATAAAATAATGGCGTTTTTTAAGAATTCAAAATAATCTGATTTTGGAGTTTGACAATGAACGCAACCATGCTTGGGACGGCCCACATAAACGAGCCAAAATGCTTTACATGTCTTGAAATAATAATTTCTTAACATTAAACATTGACTGTCAGTCTTTATTCACCGGTTTCTCGTCGTTTATCATTAAAATTTATTGAAGTAAATAATGTGAATTACATCGCTAATGTCACAGAAAAGCACGGCAGGGCACATTGTAACGCAGTGTTACAACATACCCCATCTGCGCAACTGGAATTTAAAACTGGTTAGTGTCTTCTGCTAGTAAGTTAGCGAAGCATTAAAAAAATAATTTAAACTGATAAATAACAGATTGGAGATTAAAATAATAGCAGATTTGTCTAATTTTAAATGAGTAATAAAAACTGAGATGAAAAATTTACTTAAGCCAGAAATATAATTTTACTATGGTAAAATAAATGTTCAGCGATATCTTCAAAAGACTTTTGACGCACGTTTTTTCTATATATAATGTTGATATAGTAACTAGTAAATGCTGTAAATTTGGTTATGCTAGCATGTGTGGAAATATTTAAACCACGTGTTACAATTTACCCCGCGTTACTTTGTGCCCCGCGCTTCCCTACGCTTGATCTCAATTACAAGCAGGATGAGGGGAGTTAATATTTAGTATGTATTACACACGACTACAGAGGATGTAAAAGAAAAACATAAAAAAAATAATAAAAAACTGTGTACGCGCCCTCTTCACACTTACAAGCACACGCATACGTACGCACACACGCTCATCGGCACGCGCACGCTCTTCCAGAGAAAGTTGTCAGTAATGTATAAGCCTATATGTAGCCTAGTAAGAATCTATATTGAATAACCTTTTTTGAATTTTAAATTAGTTCGGTAAGATATCCACTGATTAAATGTAATCTTAATTGTCCGAATACCTTATCAGAGTTATGCCGTGACATCAGGCACTGGTAATGAGATAAAGTGCTTCTTGCACACAGCGTAGTTATATATATCTTTACCAACACAAAATAAACAACCAGAAAACAAAATCTACACGCTCCCAACTGCTTAAATGGATATTTCAATTCAATTCAAGTCAGTCGGCTAACCGAAATCATATCACGTCTACATTAAGTTTTAGCTAATTCTGCTGACGTACAAGTGTCTTTCTGTTATTTCATTTAAACTTACCTAATATTTCTTTTCTTCTCCATGTGTGCGGTTGCTCATTATAGACCCACTCAAAGTCCCAGCGTCCAACTGCTTTGCCCATTTTTACACCTGTGCGCTGTTGATGTAATGAGCTCAGGTGATTCCTCGCTTAGGCTACTAGACTCGTTTCGGACACGCCCTCTTAGATAAGAGCAGCAGAAGGTGTGCCTGAGAGTGAGTCTATGCCAACGGTAACTAACTTCAACCGAAACCCTAACGAAGTAACGAGATCAAGTTGGTCAGAGAGCAGCCTAGCCCACACAGTCTTTCTCGTCCCACTAAGAAAACGGCACCTTGCCTCAGATAACCGCTGACTGTGAAATGTTTGTTAATGATTTTTGAATTTTACGCCTGGCAGTATACAGTAAAGACTTATTTAAGTTTTATTTATTTATTCCAATGATTTACTTAATTTTCAGTGTCACATTCCTGTAATTCTGGTCTAGACAGGTTTGCGTCGCCTTACCGCGAGAGGGCGTTTTTTATTGTACAGTTATGATCTGTGTCGTGTGATTTAATGTATAGAATATCCTCCTGGGACCCAGGCATAGACTTTTGTCCTCTGTAGAGGACATTATATTTTAGTGAATTTATTTGAGACCACACATGCCACTGTTTTAAGTCTGGATGTCCTGTACAGAGCACATTCAGGGCTTTTTAGAGATATCAAATGTGGAGATTTGATCATAAACACTCCCTCTCCTTGCTCTTTAAATATGACTGATATTGACAGAATGATCAAATTTTGCACTCTAGGGAAATATGATAGTGTTTTGTAATTCTCATTTAAATCTGACTAATTTTCAAATTGTTTGTTGTAAAAAAAAAAAAAAACACCTCAGAAAAATGTTATGGGGTTTCAAATCAGAATATGACTGTTTGTTACGAAACAGGGCATAATTTGCATACATGTCTTCTGTAGAGGACACCAGGACATACTTGGTAAATTCAAATATAAAACATTGTTTTTGCCTATACATGCCTTTCCATGTCTCTCTCTCTCTCTCTCTCTCTCTCTATATATATATATATATTATATATATATATATATTTTTTTTTATAACTTAGTCCTCACGTCCTCTATTAGAAAATAGAATAAGATATTAATAAAATATATTTTTTCAAAAATGTTTTTCTCCATTTGTTTCTTAAGCACCATCCAATGTAATGACATTAAAAAAAATTCACAAAACTTTTTTTTTCTGGTTCTCAGGAGGATATAATGCCTAATGAGATAAATTAAAATTAAAAAAAAGCGAAAAAGAGACACACACATAAATAATAAATAACATTTTATAACTGGTTAAATAATTTAAGCAAACAGACATAAAATCATTATGCCACAAATGCCAGAGTATAAAACAAACAGAAAACAGAAAAATGGTGCCATTTCACCATTTTATTTATTAATGTATTCATTTATTTATTAGTAGCTAACCTAATAACATCACGTTATAATCACATTTTTGCGTTTACATTGCACATACAAAACATTACAGCATTGTTTAAAGATATGCATTAACAGAAAATACAATGAAGTATGTATATGTGGAACAGGCCTAAGGAACGTATACAGTATCACTTCCACCTAGTTGTAAATCTATAGTTTCCTCTAAAAAAACAGATGGTGGGTCAGCACCTAGAGACAACCTCTACAGCCCTGAATGTCAGCGGAGACCATGTCAACTAGATGCGGCCTAAAGACAGATCCCCTGCGAAGACCTTGTCACCTCGTGACCATCGGCACAAGACAACGGGAAGCAGACAAGTCCTCTGCACAATCTGACCTGTGTTGCAGCCTGGAATTAAACCACACCATGCTGGTTTCGTCTGGCCAGAGGAGAACTGGCCCCCCGACTGAGCCTGGTTTCTCCCAAGGTTTTTTCTCCATTTCTGTCACCGATGGAGTTTTGGTTCCTTGTAACTGACACCTTTAGCTCGCTTATTTGGGGATGCTTGACTGATTGCACAGACATATTGTAAGAGAGCTGAACTTTTCTCTCCATAGGAATCACTAGCAGAAACTCCAAATGCCAGTGTTTTGCGTTGTTTATGGATGCTTAAATTGGCCAAACCGAGAAACCACAAGGAGCTTTTATCGTGTACGAAAATGTGTTGTTCATAAGTGGGGAAAAGTCAAGAATTTGATTGAAAAACGCAGGAAAAAGTGGCTTGTAAACCTGCGTCTGCGGTCGGGAGGAGCGAAGCTCGTGTGATAATGCTCGTGCGTGCAAATGGTTATTATAGGATATAATAATATATTATAAACAACGCAAAACACTGGCATTTGGAGTTTCTGCTAGTGATTCCTATGGAGAAAAACCACTTCCTGCCCTCCAGCTGCATTTCGCGCGTCATCAGAATCACGTGATTGCAAACAAGCTATTGTATAAAGCGCTATATAAATAAAGATGACGACTAAAAATCCTCTTTATGTCAATTCAAAACATATTTGCTTATAAACAATTAAATTAACAAAACATTTTCCTTGTTATTACTACATACATGAGTAACCAATATAACTTGATGGATAAATCATATAGATTACTCCATATTCAAAATTAATTATTACATATTTCCTTATTTCAAATTCATATGAAATGTTGCTATTGATATACAGTTTATCAGCTACTGTCAGTGTGTCAGTGAAGATTAAAAACTCGTTGGTGGATAATTTACAAAAGTTTAATGGTGAGAATGAGGTCAAACGTAGACCAAGATCTCGCGAGATTTCGCATGTCTGATGCTCAGGCAGAGTCCGTGAACGGAGTCAGTCAATGTGGGACGGAGTTTTGCCTGTTAGTTAGTGGAGTAGGAGGGAGAACGAGCCGTTGACTTGACACAGGGTTTGCTTGAAATCAGTTCGGAGAGCAAGAAAGCCAAGAATGGCGTCGGGTGAGACACTGTACATTGAAACCGACGGCTCGGAGATGCCGACAGAGATCGTCGAGCTGCACGAAATCGAAGTTGAGACCATCGAGACGACAGTGGTCGGCGGAGACGACGACGAGCACCAGCCGATGATCGCGCTGCAGCCGCTGGTCACAGACGATCCGATCCACGTTAACCATCAGGAGGTGATTTTGGTCCAAACTCGCGAGGAGGTCGTGGGCTGCGATGATTCAGACCTCCACGCAGACGACAGCTTCGAGGACCAGATCCTCATTCCCGTCCCTGTTCCAGAGGAGGAATATATCGAGCAGACTTTAGTGACCGTGTCTGGCAAGAACCCGTCGGGTAGGATGAAGAAAGGGGGAGGTAGTGGGAAAAGAGTGGTCAAAAAGAGCTTCCTAAACTCTGCCGAGGCGAGCGGACGCAAATGGGAGCAGAAGCAAGTGCAGATCAAAACACTGGAGGGGGAGTTTTCCGTCACTATGTGGGCATCGGGTAAGTTTTGACATCGCATCAAGTGCTTTGTTCTCGCGCAGGCCTCGCGTAGGCCCTCTTCCTCTCGAGCTCGTTATAAAGCTGCCGGATAGACCAGTGTCAGAAACGATTTTCGGATCACTTAGGAGGATGGCCCCGGTGTAAATGTTTTTGTTTTGATGGGAAGCCATGTTTTAAGTGTGGATGGGCGCCGCCATATTCCTCCAGACCATTATGGCGGCGGCCCCGAAACATGGCGGTTCTGTGAGCGGGGAAAGATGGCGGCGGGAGCGGAGAGAGGCGCTGTGAGTCCGCGCGCTGCTGCAGGCCGCAATGGCGCAGCTCAGTTTGGAGAAGGGGAGGGACCTAGTCACACGAGCTGCTGCTTGCCTGCAAACCGTCTGTCTCACGGCGCTTCAATCCCTCGATTAACAAATGTTACCGCGTATTTAAATCTTGTAACTGAGGAATTCAGATACATCTCTAGGAGATTACTGTGCCGCGGGGCGATATTTCTCAGTTTAGAGTACCGTTTGTGCACCGTTACCAGACAAATGCATTTTACGCAGGGATTCTATTAATGCTTACCATATTACGTATTTTTATACCAATACATATGCAGATGTTTACAGTGGAAAGCGGTTTTTGGTAAAATACAGAAATATTTATTGTAGCTTTTGCGGTTTTGAAATGTCGGTGTGCAAAAAGGGCGGTGTGAACTCATAAAAAGATGTTATTCACTTTGAACCTGGAATTTTTTCATACAGTTTGTAATTGTCTTTTTAGGTAACGTTAAATATTACAAGGGAGCTGAATGTTTTAAATGCTGAAACGTATACAGATGTTTAAACCACGCCACAATCCACAGCTCTACTGGATGTTGTATTATACATAATATTATTTTTGTAGCTATGGTTATTGTGCATTAGCAATATATATTTTAAATTCTCCACTTTAATTTCAGAGAGTTTGGCCTGTAACGACCAAAACGTTTGCCATTTCTTGAATATTAAAATAAAGTACGTGAACGTGGAGCCAGGTTGAAGTCTTGTTTAAATACGCCGTAAACCCCCACAGACTGCGCATGCGTCTCAGAGGCGTTCGTCACGGGTTTGTTTTTTTGTTTTTTTTGGAACGCACACATACTGCTGCACAAGGGAAAAAAAGCTTTGCGCCAGACGGTTTTTTTTCCCTTTTTTTTTTACTAATTGCTTATGCATTGCTTCTCTGAGACAATAGATACAATTGTTTTATTCTGAAGATGAATCACTCATGACTAGGGTGTTGCTTCATCAGTCGTCAGTTCATTTAGTTTTTGTTTGCTTTATTTGTCCTTAAAACGTTTAGCTCTTTGTGAATACAGTGTGTGTGATTTGATTAAGTACGTTGTTAAACATTGAATCTTGTGTTTTGTACAGATGACAAGAAAGATGTTGATCATGAGACTGAGGTGGAGGAGCAGATTATTGGGGAAAACTCTCCTCCTGACTATTCTGAGTATATGACAGGCAAGAAACTGCCCCCTGGAGGCATACCTGGTATTGACCTGTCGGACCCCAAACAGCTGGCGGAGTTTGCAAGGTGATTATTTGGCCAAAAGCTTGAAACTTTCTTACAGCATTTATTGATTTCTTTGGGGTAGAGTTTTATAAGTAGGCCCTAAGCATGAGATTAAATGCACATTTTCAACTCCACTGGGCCCAGAAAATAATGATCTCCAGTTTGTTGGGTTGTTATGCATATATATATATATATATAATATTATTATTATTATTATTTTGTGCGGTATATCTGGAAAAACAACAGGGAAAAAATGGTACGACCATTTTAATTTCCAAAGCCAGTTAATGCCTATTTAAGATTGAAATTATTTATTAGAATCACAGGTCGTTTGAACGATTTTAAATATGTCAAACTTGTGGAGTCACATGTATATAGATGGTTTACAAGTCAGTCATTTAGCAGAATTTGATTTGCTTCATGTATTTTAGTCATTATTGAACTCCTAGAATAAGCAGCATGCACACAAATGTCTTATCCTGAATGTTTTTCACAATACAGAATGAAGCCTAGAAAAATAAAGGAAGACGACTCTCCAAGGACGATAGCATGTCCTCACAAAGTGAGTGACTGTTTTTTTATCGTTCATGATAATTATGTAAAATTTCTGTATTAGAAGTGCTGATTTAGGATATTGTTTGTCTACAAAGATTTTCACAAATTAATCCAGTCATCTAAATTTTTTATTTAATTTATCAGGATTTTTAACATTTTAGTTGTTACGTGTTATCATAGGGTTGCACAAAAATGTTTCGGGACAACTCCGCTATGAGAAAGCACTTGCACACCCATGGGCCGCGGGTTCATGTCTGTGCTGAATGTGGGAAGGCGTTTGTGGAAAGTTCTAAGCTAAAACGGCATCAGTTGGTTCATACTGGTGAAAAACCTTTCCAGGTAATCTTTTTGTTTCTTTGTATTAATGTTATTATTCATGTATTATTATAAAACTAGAATACGTTAAATATAAATGATATATGTGCTTTTTTTTACCGTTTCCTCCACAGTGTACATTTGAGGGATGTGGAAAGCGCTTTTCATTGGACTTTAACTTGCGCACACACGTGCGGATTCACACTGGAGACAGACCTTACGTTTGCCCGTTCGATGGCTGTAACAAGAAATTCGCTCAGTCCACCAACCTGAAGTCTCACATTTTGACACACGCGAAAGCTAAAAACAATCAGTGAGATCGCTCGCTGAGGAAAGTTCCCTTAAAGACTCTGTCTGACAGCTTCCTGCTCGAAAACCCACTTTGTATGTCGTTTCTTTCATCGTGCTGTTCAGTAAGCGGAATGTCCTCCAGCGATTGATTTTAAAAGCAAGGATTCGTGAAACTTAAACCCATATGATATGGGTCTGGTTAAAGGTAAAATTGTCACATAAAAAGTCATATTTCCTGTAGTAGACAACATTAACAAACAGCAGTGAGCATAAAAATCTCCAACATATAACTTATTGTAACGTATTACATATAAAGGCTTAAAATGGCAAGTATTGCAATGAGAGCATTTAGTTGCGGTTTCATATGCTATTTTAAAAATACTCCAGAAATTGCATTACTTTCAGCTAATAATGTTAACAGCATCCTAACTTCGCATATGCACAATATTCAGTTATAAATTGTAAATTACATGATTCATGCGGTTTAAAAATATGTATTAAAAGTATTTAAAAGGTCCTATTAAGAGCTTGCTCTTGCTGACACAACCTCATGTATTCTTATGTATCAAGACTTGCAGTGCTACTAGAAACCAGTTATCCTTGCATAACCCTAAAAATATTATATTTAATGAGCTTTCATCTCATGTACATCCTATAACTGACTTAAGTGCATTTAAATGTAAAAAAAGAAAAACAACTT